CCTGGAGAGTGTGCAAACTGCACAAAATGAGACAAAAGAACTGCAGTAAGGTGAAGTGGTGGTGACTAAAGAATGAGAAAGAAAACTTCTGCTGGCAAGCTATGGATAACTTAAAAGCCTACTGCATAGGAGGAGAGGGAATGAAATGTGGGAACAACTGGTGAGTGGAATACTGAAAGCAGCAGGTAGTACAGTGGGAGTGAGCAAAGGCAGATGAAACAGAAGGAAACATGGTGGTGGAGTGATGAAGTGCAAAAGGCAACAAAGAGAAAAAGGTCAAGTTTAAGGACTGGCAGAATACGAGAGAGAAGGACTATCTGGATGAATACCTGGCAGTGAGAAGAGAGGCAAAGCGAGTGGTAGCAATGGCAAAGAAAAATACATTTGCACAACTCTACCAAAAGCTTGACAGCAAAAAAGGCGAGAAGATGGTATACTTTTTGGCAAGAGCCGGAGAAAGAGAAAGACCAGTGACATCGACTATCTAAATCTCGTTAAGAGAAGTGAAGGACGAACAATATTTGTTTGAGTGAGATGGAAAGAATACTTTGAGAAGTTGCTGAATGTGAAAGCCCCAAGACGCGAAATGGTTGAGGAACATCAAATAAATGAGGTAGTTGCAGATACGATAACGACAGAAGAGGTAGTGGAAGCTCTAGGCAGCATGAACCATCAAAAGGTAGTGTGACCAAATGAGATTCCAATTGCTGTGTTTAAATTAATGGGAGAAAATGGTGTTGAAATACTGATGGGGCTGTTTGGGAAAATCTGGATGGAGAAGAAAATGTCGGATGTGTGGAGAGTACATTGGTTCCCATCTTTAAAAGAAACGGTGATGTACAAGAGTTTGAGAACTACAGAGGAATAGCATTGATGAGTCACACCATGAAACTCTGGGAAAGGATTATAGAAAGGAGACTGAGGAAGCTGGTGGATAGTGGCGAGGGCCAGTTTGGATTCAGACAGAAAATGTCAACAATGTGTAATGCGAGCGTAAATGGGCAGGCCGGATGTGACGATCCGAGAGGGAGGAGTCAGGGTCACGTGGGAGAGAGGTTATAGGAAGGAGACCGGAAGACATCTGGAGCAGTCGAGGGAGTGAAGAGGCGAGACCACGTTGGGTGGCTGCCGTGCCCTCAGCCGCGAGGCTGATAGGGCTCGACAGACGGCGCCAGCTAGCGGGGTGCGGAGAGAGTGGAGTGCGCGGGGCGCACAGGGCGTGCGAGGTTGCACGGGGCTAGCAGAGTGGCTAGCGGGACCGTGCGGGTTGCACGGGGCTAGCGGAGGCTAGCAGAAGGTGCGAGGTTGCACAGGCAGCAGAGTAGCTGCAGGGCTAGCGGAGGCCTAGCAGAGGGTGCGAGGTTGCACAGGCAGCAGAGTAGCTGCAGAGTGTGCGGGAGCACACGGAGCAGCAGGGTAGCTGCAGAGTGCGCGGGGCGCGAGGAGAGACGACGCTGGGCTGAGGAGGAGGCCAGCGGAGTGCGGAGGAGAAGAAAATCAATAAAGGACCAACGGAGACCAACATCGTGTGAAGGAGTCCTTTATTACAAATGGATGAAATCTTTGCACTGAGAGTAATGATGGAGAAGTTCAGAGAGAAGAAACGGGACCTGCATATGGTGTTTGTTGATCTTGAGAAAGTGTACGACAGGGTGATTAGAGAGCTCATCTGGTGGTGTATGAGATGTATTCCTGAGGTATATGTCCAGCTGATACTGGATATGTATGAAGGAAAGAAAAGCAGGAGTAAAGCAAGGATCCACCCTGAGCCCTTTTCTTTTCATCCTGGTGCTGGACACGCGAGATATTTTCAGAGGGAGCCCCCATGGTGTATGCTGTTTGCAGATAACATTGTGTTATGCGGTGAAAGCAGAGGGGTAGTGGAAATTATTTGAAGATCTGGGTGCAATAGATTGAAGGGAATGGGTTGAGGATCAGTCGGACAAAGACCGAGTATATGGTGGCAAATTTCAGTGGAAATAATGGATTGCAAATTGGAAGTGACCAGTTAATAAAGACGAATGAGTTTAAGTACCTGGGTGCAACGATGTGTGCTGATGGGTCACTAGAAGGAGAGATGAGAACAAGAACAAGGGGTGGATGGCTCAAATGACAAAAGATGACTGGTGTGGTGTGCAATAAGAGGGTCCCAGTTTTGTTGAAGGGAAAAGTGTACACGACAGTGGTGAGGCCGGTGCTGTTGTATGAGGCTGAGTGCCGGGGCACAAGAAAGAAAGAGGGAGGACCAGGCCACAGAGATGAGGATGTTCTGGTGGATGATGGGTTTAACAAGGAAGGACAGGGTGAGCAATGAAGAAGTGATATGAAGACTCAAGGTGGTGTGGTTCGGTCATGTTGAGAGACAGCAGGAAAATTACGTGGGTCAGAAGTTGCAAGTGATGCAAGTGGAAGGAAAGATATCAAGAGAAATGCAGAAAAAGAGGTGGGGCGATGTGATGCGATCAGACATGGTGGCCTGAGGGGCGGAAAGAGAGATGGCGCAGGACAGGGCAGTGTGGAGAAGGTTGGTAAGGACAGCGGACCCCACATGAGTGGGACAAACACGTGGAAAAAGAAGCGGCAAGCCATCGTTGGCTTAGCACAACAATTGTGCCAGTACAAACAAGTTAAAGTTATAGGCTTTACTCGTTTAATGAGCGTTTTTTTCTACGAGAATTTCCTACAACGAGAAATTCGAATGTGGACCCATTTGTTATCAAAACAAGCAAAATGTTCGTTTATCAGAGACCGATTGATGAATATGCATCCTGTGATGGCGCGGGGCACACGGCGGATCGCAGCTGTTTGTTTACCAGTTATGTTGTGCTGAGTGAACTTGCATACTTAGTCATAGGGGGGGGGGGGGGGGCAGGCCTTTGCTGACACCGTAAATGGGTGGCGACCCTAATTAATTGCAGACGTGGAGGAAAGGAAATGGCGTTGTGAACAGGATAAAATTCAACCGCAAAATAATTAATTATAAACTATTTTAATGAAGAAGGCCCATATATGAAATAATGGGGCGTGGTTTTGCCCATATAAGGAATACTGGAACGGGAATCGACGTATTTTTTACGATTCAATGTTCGCTTTAATGGGAATCGACCTGGATCAAGCATTGATCAAGCATGGCGATTTCTGTTACGTGATTCATTTCATCCCGTTCCAGCGCCCCATTTCGCAATGTGGCTATAAACCCAGCAATCCTGGTTCAATTCCAAGCCACGGCTAACATCAGTGGCAAGTGATATTTGAACCAGCTGTCCTGCATGGCCCCTGCTGCTCCCTCCACACACGTAACTTCTATCATGGAAACTAAATAAATACCAAGCACTGTTGTTTTTAATGTATGTATGTTGAAATTATTTCGCACCATACTTCTTTCATGTGTGGTGTTACATTTGATATGTATTGCATTATTTATTAATTTAAGTTAGTATGTTTTACTTTTCAAAAGTTGTTAAAGAGTGGAAGATAGTGGGGCTGAAACGTAACTCATATTTGAACATGGAAAAGTTGTGGTGGGCGCTGGCCCTCGGGGCCTCTCCCTCCTGGGGGCCGGCCAGAGGGGGTCCGCCGTCTCCGGATCCCTCACTCGTGTGAGAGTTGCTGCGCTCCTCGTTTGCGGGGGATGGGCTGCCGCCTGCCGGCTCCCCTCCCTGGGCCAAACCCCCGCGAGTCCGTGAGTCTTGCTTGTGGGGCATTGCTCGGGGCTGCCTCACGGCCGCGGTTCGGCCGTTGGAGCGCCGGGGGGAAGGCGAGGATGCACGGAGCTCTCGCTGGGAGCGGGCCTAGCTGCGCTGATGATCGTCTCACGGATGTTCCAGTGGCCGGCAAGCTTCCTGTCCTGAGGCGGACTTGAGCAGAAAGAGAGCTTCTTGCCCTTTCTACGGCCCTTTTATTGTTACCTACATCAAAGATAACCCGGCTCCGACTCACTGGCCAATTAGCTCGCTCGGACTTCCCGCCGCGGGTCGTTGCTTTCCAGCTACCTACTTCTCCCTGTTTGTGCCGAGCGCCCGACCAATCAGAGAGATGACCCCGCTTTCCCGCCGTTCGTGGCTCCGCCCCCTACCTGCCTACCGACCCGTGTGTGTGGTGTGCGTCTTAACCGTGGTGGCTGGGCAGCCCCGTCGTGGCCATGTAATTTCAACCCAAGTCACGGCGCCACGATGTGAGTTAGCATCGGGGGAGATCGCCCAATTCCCTGGCTGCAGGAAGCCGTCAAGATTATCCCCATGAAAGGGCTTCTGGGTGAAAACCTGTCGGCCAGGTGACCTCCCCTCGGGACTCTATGGTGAGGGGGGGGGGGTGTTTATGTGGGGGGTGGTGCGGGGAAAGCAGCATCGGCCCCGACGCTTTGCAGAGCGGCTTCGCGGCTGCGGCATCACAAAACGGAACTCAATGGGAAAACGACTAGCTTACCGAGCGATTTTCGCGGAAAAAACCTCGCTCGTTAAGCCAGACACGCCTGTATTCGTTTAATAGTGTGAAAAGTTAAGAGACTAGAATCGTCTCATTCGCAAGAGTGCAAAGGTGTGTGCCTGTGTGAGAGGGATGGAGCCTAATTTGTCAGCTCAGCCCTGATTCACCTTGTCTCTCCCCTTCAGTTGCTGATTCGATGTGAGATTGTTTGGGATAATTTGAGCTTCACTTATTTAACCCAGAAAAAGTGTAATAATAGTGGCACGATAATTGAACACAATCACGTTTGTGAAAAATACAACTACCAGGCAATAATTGCCAAAATAAATAAATTAATTGCGAGTTTTACTTACGTTTATTCGGGACCCTAGGGTCCCGCCATTAGGGTCTTATTGCACAATAGCGTAAACACTCTACAGGAATCGTGTGCTTTGTTTAAATTTGCAATTATATACTTTATATGCCAGAAAAATAGGCAGCGCATTTTCTAAATGAGTATCAAACGATAGTCAATTGTCCTTACGATCATAAAGAACAATGGAAGTTATAAGTTTTTAAGACTTTCAGGAACGTACCGGTTTTTCCTGTGACCACATCTGACAATTGTGAATTGGCCCCACTATGAGCCTCTACATACACAGAGTAGTTTCTGTCCGCAACCAAATTCCAAAATGTTTTTGTAGTTGGAAAGCTATAGTTTTCGTTTCCGATCAGATTCCAAGTTGCAGTGTCTCTTAAGTAAGCAGAGTAGTAGTCTATGTCAGAAAATGGAGCCGTCCATGAGATAGTCATGGTTGTTTCAGTCTTGCCACTGATGATCACAATGACTTTGGGTGGCACTGTGAAACAGCATCAGCAGTAGATTAATCATATGAGCAACATGTTCACGTTTTCATAAACACCGTTATTCTAAACAATTAAATTTCGCAGTTTAAACATCATTTACATTGAAATTCCTTCATTTTGAACACGGTATTACTATTGTTTTGGAACATAAAATGTTTAAGGATGTCTAATAATCTTGGCATTTATAGTCTGTGCTATCCAGTGCAGTCAAGGCCACTCTACGGAGACAGCACAGTTACGAGTGCTAAGTGGCCTCCTAGGCTATGCCGATTGTGGGTTTCTTGCCCATCTGGTTCTCCTTGATCTCACAGATGTATTTGACAACACAGACCACCTAATTTTTCAGCAGCGCTTTCAGAAATATGTATGCACTGTCGGCACTTACTGACTTGGTTCTGTTCTTATCTATCAAATCATGTTTTTACGAAACATCTTATGATAAACATGTTCTAAATTGTTAAATTACGGGGTGCCACATGGCTCCTTTCTTAACAGACTGCTTTATTTAACTACTTTTACGTAGTACAATCACATCCAGTTTCAAGGTGATACATCATCTATATGTTCTTTTTTGAGTACATCTGGTCAAATGTATGTCATAAAAGCTTGATTCCCAAACAGAATAAACTGTCACTCATGTAAGTATTTAACATAACAATTATAATTGTTTAACCTCACTGAGAAGTTGAGGAACAATTCTCACAACCAAGGTAAGCTTCGGCAAATCGCATGAGAATACGCAATACTTCACCAGTACTAGTTCCAAGATGTCCGAATTTAAATTCAGGAAGTCAACATTTTACATATGCCCCTGGTTTAACTCGGTGAGCAAAGATCTTAACCCAAGGCACCCCATTTTAGGAGAGTACTCTAAGGAAATGCTATGTTATCTGCAGATGATACACCTGGTGGAAAAACTTTGAATACAACCCATGTTTACATTTTAATAGATCCCACAGTCCAGCCCGCTGGTCTTGACATTGTTTGCCGTCTCATGGATAAAGTTTAAGTGTGCCAGATGTGAAATAATGAGTTGGGCTGCAAATGGCTAAAATAGGGTTCGTAATTACTCGTGTGGACAATTGACATACCTGTCAAACCCATACGGTTTATCCGTGTTCTTGTGCAGGGAAATTGAGTTTTCCGGTCCATATATGGTGTGCAACCGTTTCGATACGGGCAAAAAAATCGTCTATTTGTTTGTGTTTCTCCCATGTGATGGAACTTCATAGGATGAACGTTGAGATTGATAAAGGCACGGGGTGACCGATAAGGTGTGAATTGGTATGTAATAAGGTATGCAATAATAAGGGGTTGACAGGTATGAATTGAGGGTGTAGTACAATTATTGACAGTAGACCGTAGAGATACTTACAGGTTCTGTCCATGACGACATCTGATATTTGGGAGGAGGACCCGTGGTAAGCCGTCACAGACACGGAGTAGTTCCTTCCAGGAACCAGGTTAGTGAATGTGTATGTGTTTGAATATGAATATAAATAGTAATTCACGTATCCACTTATAGTCTCTGTCATGTAGTTCCAGTAGAAGTATGCGTTCGGGAGAGAAGTCATACAAGAGATTGTAATGGACGTCATAGTCTTGTTGGTGATGGTTACAAGGGTGTAACTTGACACTGAAACGGCATTTGGCATGGGCGACATTTTGTCAACGTTATTTTTTTACGTAACGTATCTGAAAAAAAACCTAATTGAAATCATGACACATTCTGTATTTCATAATTCAATAACTTTGACAAATACTTTAATAAACATTTGTTGTTAATGTAAAGGGTTGACGGGAATTAATCATGAATATTGAACACCATATGCTTTTGGTTCTTTCGGTAAAGTCACGTAGTTAGAAATAAATTACCAAAAGAACCAAAGAGTATGGAATCCTGCAGTCACGGAAGATTCAAATCAAGATTGAACACCATATGCTTCGCTGGTTTTTTTATGGTTTTCACTTCTCAGTCACCAAAAATCATTACACACTGGGTTGATTATTTTTTCTGACGATGGGTTGCTGATTAGTGATTATTAACAGGCCTTTACAAATCAATTGGTAGACGAAAGCCTCCTCATGCCTTATTACTCATAGGGGTTGCTATGAGTAATAAGGTTGCATTGAATTAAACTTCCAAATTTGACTAAATTTGCTTTCTCCGTGCTTGTTTGTTTAGAAGTGCAGTGAAGAACATATACAAACACAGAGACAATTTCAACCGAGAAGATGGATTCTGGCTCAGCAATCATTGGAAGGACGTAATAAACCATTTCGGATCTTAACTGATTGTGTTCACGTTTACGGTGACTTTCAGACCGCAGTCCATTCACTGGCATTGACTATATATCTTGTTTTCTCCGCAGGGAATGGATTCTTTTCTCCGCTGCAAGTCTCCTCCTACCACTCTCCCATTGATATATTTCGTTGCTTCCTCTTAGTATCTTTCACTCGACGTTCAATGGTATAGTGTATAGCAGATTGTATAATAATAAATAGTATAAAATTGTAATGTTTAATACAATGTATAAGGCAATATATAGTATCGTAATTGTATAGTGAATATACACCACTGTGATATACAGTAGGGTGGATAGAATAATCAGCTTATTGGAGAGTATATTTAGTATACTGATGATCCTATGTAGTTTATACCTTAGTTTTTTTTTACTTGGTTGTTTAGTTACTGCAGCTACATACTATTAACATTCCTTCCCTTTATTAATGCTACCCCTATCCCCTCCCTTTGATGCTGCTAATCCTGCATAATGCACAAGCATAATATGACTTTGAAACCCCCCACCCACCTCCTACGCATTTCACAAGTGGTACTAATCACATATCTGCATTTCCCATAAATATGCTAAATTCCTCTTGATATGCAAATTCCTTTTTCAAGGCGCTCTCCCCCTTCCAACCCAGCTTAAATATACGCTCCAAGCGTGGTGGTGTTTCATTCAGACGCTGTCACCCGGCAGACCTGGTCTTCACCTGAGAACGGCTGCTTGCGTTGTGGCCGAAATGTCGTGAGAATGATTTTATTGTTTTATTTTTATTATTTTATTATTTCCCTTCTACGTGACTTTACCGAAAGAACCAAGAAGATGAATCCCTGCAGTCACGAAAGCTTTAAATCGAAATTTATACTTACAAGTACTGTCCTTGACGACAGCTGATATTTGGGAGGACCCGTTGTATGCCGTCACAGACACGGAGTAGTTCTTTCCAGGATCCAGGTTAGTAAATGTGTATATGACTGAATTTGAATATGAATACAAATTGTAAACCGTTCTTCCACTTTCAGTCTCTGTCATATAGATCGAGTGGTATGTGTTCGGGAAAGAAGTCATCCAAGAGACTGTAATGGACGTCATCGTCTTGTTGGTGATGGTTACAATGATGTAACTTGGCACTGAAATTACATATGGAATGGGCGACATTTTATGAAGATATTTCACGTTTTTAACAAGACATAATGCAAGTGAAAAAAATAATTTAAATCATAACAAGACATTCCATATTCTTTCATAGTCCAATAACTTTGACACATACGTAAATATGTTTTTGTTTATGTAAGGTTTTGCAGGAGTTATTAATGAATATTTAACTCCATATTCTTGGCTAATTTATATAGCTTTTACTTCTCACTAACCAAAATTCATTATACACTGGGTTGATAATTTTCTTGACCATGGGTAGCTGATCAGTGATAATTTACAGCCGTTTGCACATCCACTGGTAAACGAAAGCCGCGTCATGCCTTATTATTCATAATTATTTCTTGACCAAATGTAACCACCACTATCAGGGTGAGCGAGTGAAGTGTGACAAACTGCTTAAGATGTAACTTTACATTTATGTTGTCTAAATGGATAAAATAAGGTTATTTGTTACTCTTTTGGTTAATGGAATTAGCAGAGCTAGTATTGATAGTAGACCGTATACTGTAAGTACTTACAGGTACTGTCCATGACGACATCTGATATTTGGGAGGAGGTCCCATTGTAAGCCGTCACATACACGGAGTAGTTCATTCCAGGAACCAGGTTAGTCAATGTGTATGTGTTTGAAAATGAAAACAAATAGTAAATCTGTCTTCCACTTATAGTCTCTGTCATGTAGATCCAGTAGTAATATGCGTTCGGGAGAGAAGTCATCCAAGATACTGTAATGGACGTCATCGTCTTGTTGATGATGGTTACAATGGTGTAACTTGTCACTAAAATGACATATGGAATGGGCGAAATTTTATGTTTCTGCGTTAACCACAATACTTGTGGTAAAAAGCAAACAAAAAACACACTATATACTCTTAGTTATTTCGGTAAAGTCACGTAGGTAAAAAAAATGAAATTAAAATTAATAAAATAAAACAATAAAATCACGACGTTTCGGAGACAACACAAGCCTCCGTCATCAGGTGGGACCGTCACAGCCAGATTTTCTGCATCAAGTGAGGCAGGGATTCAAGATGCAAGCCCTTAAATACAAGTTTAGGGGAAGGAGAGGGGGGAAGGAGCTTAACAGAATGTGGTAGCCAATAAATGGAATGTATCGGGAGGGGGGGGGGCGGGGCTAAAAGAGGGCGCGAGGTACTCGTGGGCGTCCTCGGCCTGGACGTGTTTGTGCGCAAGTCACTGGGATGTACATGATAGAAAATAAACGGAAATGCCCATGTTTATAGCAATGTTGGCTGACAATAAAGAGAGTACTGTTAAACGCTGGGGATGTTAACACTCGGTAAAGTAAAATAGTGCCTGTCAGATAAGATGGTCCAAAAAATGTGTAGTTAAATCTTTTTTGCATGGTTGATAACATCTTTCCAATGATTACTAAGTTTGTACCCATCATCACGATTGAAAATATGTCTGTGTTTGTATATCTGAATGGCTTCGTGTACAAACCTTTGATGGTAGCCAGAGGGTTCGCAGAGCATCTTAGTCTCGGAAAAAAACAATATCATGAGAGCCCACCGTGTTGTAGCAATTATCGGCAACGGCGGAAGACTCAATTTTGCCGTGTTTCAAATCTGACTTGTGCTCGCGGACACGAACAGAGACATGACGTTTCGTTTCCCCAATGTAGCAGTCACCACAGCTGCAACTCAGTTTATAGACTCCAGGGTATTGCAAGTCAAGGATGACATTCTTCACAGATGGAATTAGATCACGGATTTTATGTACTGTACTGAATCTGACTTGGATCTTATGTTTGTTTAGAATTTTGGAGATATTTTTGGTCACGCCTGCCATGTATGGTAACGTGATAGTTTTGATTGGAGTTTCAAGTGGCTGTTTCTGTATGGTGGGAGAAACAGCTTGGCGGATGGTGCGTTCAGAGTATCCGTTCATCCTGAGGGCCCGATGTACATGTCTTGATTCACTGGCCAGGTGGTGTTGGTCAGAAATGCCATGAGCTCTGTGGTATATCGTTTTGATGAGAGAATTATTTTGAGATGGGTGTTGGTGGGAATCCGGTTTCAAGTAGGAATCTGTGTGGATGGCTTTCCTGTAGACAGAATGTCCCAAGGATCCGTCAGGTCTCCTCTCAAACAGAATAATTAAGAATGGTAGTTTGCCATCTTTCTCCACTTCCATGGTGAATCTGATGGATGGATGTCTGGAATTGATGTGGTCCAAGAAGTGGTTCAATGCTGGGAGGCCATGTGGCCAAATGACGAAAGTGTCATCCACATACATCTTCCACAGGGAAGGACGCAGGGTGGATGTCTGGATGGCATCTGATTCAAACTTTTCCATGAACATATTGGCTATTACTGGTGACAAGGGGGAGCCCATAGGGGTACCCTCATTCTTCTTCTTGGTTCTTTCGGTATTTCCATTGTACGTGACTTTACAGAAAGAACCAAGAAGATGAATCCCTGCAGTCACGAAAACTTTAAATCGAAATTTACCCTCATTCTGTTTGTAGAAGGTGCCATTCCAGGTAAAATAAGTGTTGGTGAGGCAATGCCTAACCAGCGCAGGTACATCCTAATTTAATCCATGTTGGACCAAGTCCTCAATTATTGTTAGGGTGTCAGGCACTGGAACTTTGGTAAACAGAGATACTACATCAAAACTGACGAGGATATCATCAGGAGATAGTACCATGTCTTTGACCATAAAGACTAATTGGGTTGAGTTAAGTATTGCCGAAGAGGTCTTGCCTGTGAAGGGAAGTAGAGTATTTGATAGAAAACGGGCTAGTTTGTAGGTAGGGGAGTTAATCGTTGACACGATGGGTCGTAGCGGGGTGCCTTCTTCATGGATCTTGAGAAGACCATAGAGTCTGCGAGGTCTAGCCGCCGAGGGTTTTAAACAGGGGCGTTTGGTTGGTTCGATTAGGGATGTCGAACTCGTGATGATCTTGTTGGTTTTTGTCATTAGGCTGTTCGTAGGATTGCTTTTAATTTTGGAGTTACTCCCATCATTAAGTAGGTCCAGGATTTTGTTGTTGTATGATTCTTTATCCATGATGACCGTGGCATTGCCCTTGTCTGCCGAGAGGATGACTATATCATCTCTCTTGAGAGCCCACATAATTGTAGCAATGATCGGCAAGGCCGAAGAATCAGTTCTGCCGTTGCCGATCATTGCTACAATTCTGTGGGCTCTCATGAAATTGTCTTTTCCGAGACCAAGGTGCTCTGCAAACCTCCTTGCTACCATCAAAGGTTTGTACACGAAGCCATACAAATATACAAACACAGACATAATTTCAACCGTGATGATGGTTACAAACTGAGTAATCATTGGAAAGATGTGATTAACCATGCAAAAAAGATTTAACTACACTTATTTGGACCATCTTATTTGACAGACAATTTTTACAGGTTATTGACAGACAGCCATTCTTGTTTTACCAGGTTTCGTTTTTTTATTTTTTATTTGTTCACACTTTTGTTATGTAGGCTAGGCGTAGTCACAAGCCGTACCTCTCCATAACAAAGGCTCAGTCTTTTGTTATGTAGTCTATTCTTAGTCTTAAGCCTCACCTTACAATATTAATAAAAAGTGTGCCGTACTTGGCCCTTCCCCTCTTCAACCATTATATATACGGAGTGGTAGCTCTTGTAATCTCTCATTTACTTGATACAGCTGTCGTGGCTGTGACAGTTCCACTTGAAGACGGAAGCGTGTGTTGCCTCTGAAACGTCGTGATTTTTATTTTTATTTAATTTTACTTTTATTAATTTTAATTTTTTACCTACGTGACTTTACCGAAAAATCCTAAGAATATGAATCCTTGCAGTCACGAAAGCTTCAAATTTAGAATTAATTTGCTGTCTTTTCTTGGATTTTCTGTTTGCACCCAGTTACATATTCACTTTAAGATGTTTTTTGTTCGTGTTTTAGTTTTTTGTTTCTTGCGGTTGCACCCGATTCAAGAGCCGAATGGCTCACAGGGCTATCTTTCCTATAAACGTCACTTTTTGTCTGTCTGTCTGTCCGTCTGTCTGCGTACGCTCGCTTACGAGGGATTTGGCGCTCGGGCTGTGGGGTTTAGGATGAAAATTTTTTGTCGGGAGGCACGTCCCATGCCCCGCGGTGAGCATAGGCATTTCCGATTTTTTGTCTCTAAACTCTAAATTGGTCCGATTATCGATTTAGAGCGATTTCTCTTTATTTATTTATTTACTATTGCCGACCAGCACGTGACGAGGCACGCCGTTGCGCATGCGTGAGACGCCGAGCAGGGCGGTTGCCCCTGGCAACGGGCAGCAACGCCGTCGCTCTGGGGTGGACGCCATTTTTAATTCCCGTTAAAAATATGCACACGCGTTAACACGCGACGCTGAGGTAAATTCATCAAAGTTTCACGTCCTCTTCACTCCGCCCCCACCCCAATGTGTGCACTTACTATTATAGGGTCGGTAGATAATAAAATTATAGCGATCAGACAGTATTATTTTAGCGCGGGGGGGGGGGGGGGGTAGCGGCCCAGCACCCAGGTTCGGCCGGATGGGCAATCTAGGCGAGGCCGGAGGCTCTGCACGGTATTAGGGCGACACCCCACACTTGTCAGACTTTTGTGCTATAAACTCGATATACCCAGCGTTGGCCGGGGAAAAAAATACATTTAAAATATTCTGAAAACTTTAAAACATAACATACCAATGAAAATACAACTGTGTAATTAAAAATTTAAACCCGACAGAGCCAAGAATCGATTCTCTGAATCGCGCAAAGGAATCAAAAGTTGTAGACTCCTTTAGAATCGGCCGATTCCCGTTTACTATAAGTTGGTTATTGTCGATATAAACGGCTACGAACGGGAAATATCCGGCGTTGACCGGGGCAAAAATATAAATAAAAACTCCTGAAAACATTACAACATGACATTACAATGAAAATAAAACTCTGTAATTCAAAATGTAAATCCCCAACACGCCAGGAATCGATTCTTTGAATCGCGCAAAGGAATCATCGAATGTTGTAGATTCCTTTAGAAGCGCCCTATTCCCGTTTTAAAATCTGTCGCCAAGTTTCCTTGACATTTCCAACAGATACACACATTCACACATTTAGCTTTTACGTTTAACATACAAAACATCAGCATGTACTGCTGTCATCATAGGCAAAAATATATACACCCTCATGACTCTCCCTCACCACTCACACCACTCACCACTCACACCACTCACCATCACTCAACCTCACCACTCACACTCACCACTCACGCTCACCACTCACCCTCACTACTCACCCTCACCACCACTACTCACCCTCACCACTCTCCCTCACCACTCTCTCACCACTCATCCTCACCACCACCACTCACCCTGACCACTCACACTCAGCACTCACCCACAACACTCACCCTCACCACTCACCACACACTCTCACTACTCACCCTCACCACCACCACTCACCCTGACCACTCACACTCAACACTCACCCTCACCACCACCACTCACATACAACACTCACCTTCGCCACTCACCCTCACCACTCAAGTTCAAGTTCATTTATTAGGAATAGCCCTGTGAGCCATTCAGCTCTTGAAACGGGTGCAACCGCAACAAACAAGAGCTGAATGGCTCACAGGGCTATACCTAATAAATGAACTCTCACCACTCACCATTCACCCTCACCACTCACTCTAACTACTCACCCTCACCACCACCACTCACTCTCACCACTCAACACTGACCCTCACCCTCACCACTCCCTCTCACCACTCACCACTCACTCTCATCACTCACGCTCACCACTC